ACGTTCCGTCCTGCCCACCTCCGTTTTGATTAAATTAGTTAACATCTGACTTCTTGCTCGAAGATGGAGAGATGCTGTCGACACCTTCAGGGTTTTGAAACACAGGTTTTTAAAAGTGAAAGTTCTGATTTGGGAAGCGTAGGGGGAGAACCTCTGAATGCGTGTGTGCACGCGAACATGCCCGTGTTTGTGCGGCGCACGTGTAATAGCATGGACACAGGCAGTGGCCGTAAAGAAACGTTGTTTAGCAAGGTGTAGCTTTCATACAATTTTTCATAGAAACACAGGGCAGAGAGGGAGAGAACGAGTGGCTCGGCACAGACTCAGCTTTGCCCGTCCCATGGGCTCCGGCCTGCCTGCTACCAAGGGACTGGACGCGCCCCCAGGGGCAGAGCGTGCCGGGGGGCCCGGGGGTTTCCCTGGGACGGGCCTGGTGCAGGACACCCGGCGCTGGGCGCCCGGGAGCAGAGGGGCCGCCTGGGACCTGCTGTCCGGCGAGTGTGGCAGCCCGGGCTCAGGGACTCTGCAGAGGCCTTCGTGAGTGGTCGCCACAATGCTTCGGCCGGGCTCCTTCCTCCATGGCTTCACCTTCTCCTCCAGGAAGTAGCTTTCCAGGGTGATGTTTAAGAAGATTGCAATTAATTTTTAATAGTAGATTACAGCTTTTCTCGTGATGTGACCAGTGAGCATGTAATTTGGGGGACGTGGGGGTGTCTGTGGGTAAGGGTGTGTCAGTCCCAGGGCTGATGTCTTGGGGCTGGAGCAGACCCAGGGTTGCCCCTGCGTTCTTACCGGGAGGCCAGGCTGGGTGTGGCATTGGGGTCAGGACGCCGGCTCTGGCCGCCTCCTGGTTGCAGCGTGCAGCTGTGTGGAGAGCAAGGGCTCCTCAACTGTGTCAACACCCGTGCTCCCCAGGGCCTGTAGGGGACACTGCACTGCTCCTGTCCTCTGCAGGGGCGCTATGACTGGGGAGGTGGGACCTGGGCACAGCCAGGACCCGCCTGGTTTTCCGTCTGAGCTGGAGCGGCCCCTCGTGGCCCCCAGGCGTCCCGAGCAGGACTCGACTCCCACAGTGCTTCTGATTGCCTCCGTTGCGTTTCCTTCTCCTGGTCAGGCTCTGCCTCCCCCAGCGTGTCTGGGATTTTTGGAGGGCAGCCCGGGCCCTCTGAGGCGGGGGCACTGGTGTCTTCTCAGTGGGCTCCTGGACAGGGGCCTGAGCCCGCCCTCGGAGGACAGGCCACATGGGGAGTCGCAAACAGCGATGAAAGCGTGAACTTCTGACAGCAAAGATTCTAACAGATGGGATCATCAGAGAGGGCGGTTGGGTGGCTCCTTCTGCAAATACGTAACAACGGAAGTGCGTTTCCCCTATTTGGGGTGCCACAACTGTTCCTCTTGGTAAATATGATGGCGTTTGCACTGGTACTTTGAGACCCTTGATTTTTGCGGGGGGTTCGTCCTTGTTGGTGTCTGAACCAGGACACGGCAGAAGGCAGCTCTGTCCTCGAGCAGAATATCCTCAGGCCAGCAGACGTGAACCCGAGAGGGAGATAGGATTTCCATGTGCTGTTTCCATTATTCAGAGACCTTGGAATACTCGTCTCCAGGCATATGATAATGAGGTTCCAAGATGTTATAAAAAGTCTTTTCAAATCAGAAATCCAGAAGCCTGTTTTTCTTGTTAAAATTTCTAACTATACTAATAATTTTAAAATATTTTATTGAGGTGTAATTAACACATAATGTTTCTTAAATCTCGCCGTGCATTTGTCCTCAGAGATGGATTCCTAGGCCATGAGCATCTCCACGAGAGAGATCCCAGAATCTATGTTTTCATCACTCCTTGAGGGGTTTTCTTTGTAGGTGGTGATTGGAGTATGTTGGCAGTGATTAGCCTCTGAGAATCTACTTACATATCTAGGTCTCCATACCTAAAACACATCCCTCCCTTCCTCCATCATCCATCATTGATCCCTCCACCGTACATCTATCCATCATCCATCCATCCATCCATTATCCGTCCATCCATTATCCATCCACCATCCACCATCCATCATCCATCCATTCATCCATTATCCATCCATCTATTATCCATCCATCCACCATCCATCATCCATTCATCTACCATCCATCCATCCCTTCACCGTCCATCCATCCATCATCCATTCATCCATTATCCATCCATTATCCATCCATCCACCATCCATCTACCATCCATCATCCATCATCCATCCATCCACCATCCATCCATCCACCATCCATCATCCACCATCCATCCATCATCTATCCATCTACTGTCCATCCACCATCCATCCATCTTCCATCCATCATCTGTCCACCATCCACCCACCATCCATCCATCCATTCATTATCCGTCCATCCATTATCCATCATCCACCATCCACCATCCATCCATCCATCATCCATCCATCATCCATCATCCATCCATTCATAATCCATCCATCCACCATCCATCCATCCATCCATCCAGCATCCATCCACCATCCACCATCCACCCACCATCCACCATCTATCATCCATCCATCATCCATCATCCACCATCCATCCATCATCTATCCATCTACTGTCCATCCACCATCCATCCATCTTCCATCCATCATCTATCCACCATCCACCCACCATCCATCCATCCATCCATCCATCCATTCATTATCCGTCCATCCATTATCCATCATCCACCATCCACCATCCATCCACCCACCATCCATCATCTGTCTATCCATCCATCCAGCATCCATCCACCATCCACCATCCACCCACCATCCACCATCTATCATCCATCCATTATCCATCCATCCATCATCCATCCATCATTTATCCATCCATCATCCATCCATCAGTCATCCATCCATCATCCTTCCATCCATTAAACAAATCGAACACATGTTATGTGCCAGGCACAGTCCTAGATTCTGAGAACAGCAGTAAACCAAACTAGACTAAGGCTGCCAAAATTTCCTGCCCTTGTGGAACTTGGTTTCTACTCATCAAAAAGATGATGGGTGAATGAATGAATGAAAATATACAATGTTAGATTGCTATACATGTTAAGGAGGAAAAATAAACCAGAGAGGTTTCCCCAAGGTTGGGTTAGGGGACTGAAAGTAAGCTGGTGGGGTTGCGGAAGGCAACTTTCGAGTAAGAGCAGAAAACAGGGAGGGGACCCGCCGTGCAGCTGTCTGGGGGAGGACATCGCGGTAGCGGGAAGTGTTGGAGGGGCCCTGGGGACCTTGCCGGCCAGGTAGGACGGGGCTGGCACTCTGAGTTGTTGGGCCACATGATCTCAGGACACTGCAGACACCTCTCCCTGGGGCGGAGGCCGGCAGCCGCTGGGTGAGGGCTGGCGGGTGGCCATGCCCCTGGTCCCAGGGCTCCACCACGTGGGTCTGTGCTTCCGGACGCCATGTCCTCATGCCGTCTCCTTTCTCCTTCCAGAGCACTACAGCTATGCACCCACCAGCATCGGCTCTGCCCTGCCGCTCCCCACAGCACACCCCTCGCTGCCAGCCCCGTGTCATGACCTGCAGACCGCCACCGCGGGCCTCTCGGCCATGCCAGCAGCGAGTCACTCCGCGGGCTATGGGGCAGCCATGGACAGCGCGTCCGCGGGGTACTTCCTCTCTGCCGGCAGCATCAGGCCTGATGGGGCCCCGGCCCTGGAGAGCCCCCGCATCGAGATCACCTCGTACCTGGGCCTGCACCACAACAGCAGCCAGTTTTTCCACGACGTGGAGGTGGAGGACGTTATCCCCGGCGCCAAGCGGTCCCCATCCACGGCCACGCTGAGCCTGCCCGGCCTGGAGGCCTACCGCGACCCCGCGTGCCTCAGCCCGGCCAGCAGCCTGTCCTCCCGCAGCTGCAACTCCGAGGCCTCCTCCTACGAGTCCAACTACTCGTACCCGTACACCTCCCCCCAGACATCTCCCTGGCAGTCTCCCTGTGTGTCCCCCAAGACCACGGACCCCGAGGAGGGCTTTCCCCGCGGGCTGGGGGCCTGCACCCTGCTGGGCTCCCCGAGACACTCCCCGTCCACCTCACCCCGCGCGAGCGTCACGGAGGAGAGCTGGCTGGGCACCCGCACCTCCCGGCCCGCGTCCCCCTGCAACAAGAGGAAGTACAGCCTCAACGGCCGGCAGGCCCCCTACTCGCCCCACCACTCGCCCACGCCGTCCCCGCACGGCTCCCCCCGGGTCAGCGTGACGGACGACACGTGGCTGGGCAGCACCACGCAGTACACCAGCTCGGCCATCGTGGCGGCCATCAACGCCCTGACCACCGACAGCAGCCTGGACCTGGGCGACGGTGTCCCCGTCAAGGCCCGCAAGACCGGCCTGGAGCACTCGCCCTCGGTGGCCCTCAAGGTGGAGCCGGCCGGGGAGGACCTGGGCACCACCCCGCCCGCGTCCGACTTCCCGCCCGAGGACTTCTCCACCTTCCAGCACATCCGCAAGGGTGCCTTCTGCGACCAGTACCTGTCCGTGCCGCAGCACCCGTACCAGTGGGCGAAGCCCAAGTCCCTGACGCCCACATCCTACATGAGGTGAGCCGGGCGCGGCGGGGTGGCGGCGTGCGGGCTCAGACACCGGGCGGGGACTCCCTCCTGGCTCTGGAGGCTGAACGCCAGGACGGGGTGTCTGCGGGGTCCTCCTGGTGCTGGGTGCAAGGGTCTGTCCCAGGCCACGCCCTGAGGTCCCGGTGGTTTGTGGTGAATCCTTGGTGTTCTTGGCCCACAGAAGGTCTCGGTCTCTGCCTTCGTCCTCATGCGACCTTCTCCCCACGTGGCTCCCGTCTCTCTCCAGGTTCCCCTTCTGTGCCGACGCCGGTCCTGCTGGGTGGCGGCCGCCCTGACGGCCTCATTCTACCCTGATCTCTGCACAGTCCCTGTTTCCCGTCAGGCCCCACTCACAGCCCCTGGGCTTGGGGCTCCAGCACGTGGCTTCTGGGGCCCGTTCTGCCCACGGCGGGTTCACAGACAGGCACACAGCCACCCTCTCAGTAGCGCAGACCTGGCTCCGCGCTGCCTTTCGCGTCTTAATCGCCATCACCGCGTCGGGTGCAGATGGGACCTGGCTCTACAACCCCCCAGGGCAGCCAGCTTGCTGCGTTTCGAGAACAACACGGCCGCCTCCTCCCGGGAGACGCAGCGCTGGCTGGCAGCCTGGCGGGGAGGGCTCAGGCGAGCTCCTGCTCGCTGGGCCGTGGCTGCTGGTCTCTCAGACGGTGCAGGGGCCGCTGGCCCTCGCCAGGTCCACCTAGCCTGCCTGGTGTTTTCACATTTAATAAACAATTTGCCCAGCAGGCGGACCTTGCACACCCTGGCAGGGTGCTTTTTGCCCAGGGTCTTTATGGCCTGTGACATCAGCGTTCATAGCCCTCTGCGGGCAGCCCAGTCCTGGCGATCGCTGGGTTCTGTTTCTCCCGTCCCCGTGCATCACAGGCCGTCGTGGAGGCCAGGTTGGGTGGCAGGGCGCGTGTGCCCCTGAGATGAGAGCCAATCGGCGAGGCCACGCGTGGCAGAAACTGTTGCGCTGTGCCCCTCTCCGCCTCCCACGGCTGCGGCCGAAGCCGTGGCCGGGGTCCAGGGTCAGAGCTGCCCGTGGCGGCTCAGCTCCAGGCTGTGAACGAGCCCGGCTGAAGCCGCAGGAGCTCGTGGCAAAGGAGTGGGACGGGAGCATTAGAGCAGCAGCCGGTGAGGCCGCAGAGGGGCAGGAGGACTCCGACCCTTCCTGGCCCGCGCTGGTGCGTCCCCCGCCCGCCCCGGCTTCTGCTCTCGGCACTGTGAGGTGTGCAAGGCAGAGTTACCATCAAAACAGATCGATCTCAGGACCTGCATTTAATTCATAAACACAGGAATTTAAAAAGTCCATCTGCTGGCATTTGGAAAATTTGAGAACTGTTTATGCGTGCCGTGCTGTCACTGTGATTTTTATTTAAATAATAATATTTTAAAGCTGACTGAAGCATACTGTCACGCGCCTGCCCAGTTCCATGGTCGTCTGCGTTTTCATGGGCAGCAAAGGTCACTGTCCCTCTGCTCAAATGTGAGGTCGAGGGCAGGGTGACGCCATCGGGCGTAGCTGTGGCTAGAAGTGGGAAGAGTTTCCTGAGAAGTGGAGCCACGTCAGGGAAACCCTGCGTGTTGTTTCCTGGGCTGCCGTGGCTGCCGGCCGACGGCGGCTTTGTCAGCAGGAAAGGACGGCCAGGGTCCGGCCGTCGGGGGCGGGGCTGGCTCCCTCTGAGGCTGGGAGTCTGTTCTCGCTGCTGCCTGTGTCCCTTGATGCTCTCGGTCCTCGGTGCGTGTCTGTCTGAACGTCCCTTTACACGGATGCTGGTCCTGTGCGTCAGGCTGCTCTGACCTCCTCTGTGCTGGGAACGAACCGACGGCCACACTGGGGCCAGGGCCCATGTATGGGTCTGGGGGACACGGCACAGCCCTGCAGCGCCAGCGTGCTGCGTGGCTTTCAGATGGAGCCTGTCGCGGGTCCCTGCTTGGCCTGCGCGGCCGTGGTGTCCTCGGGGACGTTTGGTGTTTCCTCTCTGCCCGTGCCGGACCTGCCTTTGATTCGGCAGTTGGAAGCAGGCAGCCGTGTTTTTCCTGTGCTTGGGAGTTTCAGCAATAATTCTGCTGCCAATGGCTCTGCTGCCTTTATCTCTTGGTGACAGAGCAGCCCTGGCGAGCCGTGGTGTCCTGACATTCCTGTGGGCTGTGCAAACAAACAGGGCTCGGGAACGCACCGCACTGTCGCCAGCGGTTTGCAGTTAACCTTTCCCACTGTTTTGGTTCCACATCAAAATATGTTTCCTGGTCCCTGGAGATACGTTTCCGTGCGATCTCATTAACGGGTGCTCCGGGGCAGCTGGAAGCCACGGCAGAAACGCGCTGCTAGGTTATTTTGCCTGTGGGACGGAGGGGCCAGACTTCCTTCCCGCGAGCACCTTTCAGTCCGTGCACGTGAGGGGCTCGGGCGCCCACGGACGTCAGCGGGGCCTCCGAGTGCGCAGCTGAAATGCCGTGTTTTCAGTTACCTCCAGAGTTTGGGGTGGAGAACCTGTCACGGCGCAGCCGGCCGCCCTTCCTGTGGGGCGCTGCACTCTCTAATCCCGTCCCAGCGCCGGAAGGAGCCTCCCCGTGAACGGTGCACAGGGCTTGCGGGGCCCTGGCGGCGTCTGGGGCTCCCGCGTCTGTGAAGGAGACGCTTCAGAGAATGGTGCTAAAGTCTTGCTGAAGTTGAAGAAATTAAAGTGCTTCTGAAACTATTACAAGGGTACCTGATAGAATTCCGTAGTTTAGAGCTATTTTCCAGTTTAACGGAAGGGTGCTTCTGCCGTCACAGCTTGGGAAGCCGGCACAGAAGTCATAGGTCTGGCTAGAACCACCCCCAGTAACAGCGTCAGAATTTTAACTGTTTGTTGTAGCATCGAGCGAGGGCCGCGCAGCCTCTCCAGGGAGGAGTGGGGTTTCCTGCCCACCCTGCTCCCTCCGATGTGACCTGAATGCCGCTGGCTCGAATATTAGGTAGGAGACGCCCATTTACATGGGATTATCTCTAAATGGTAGTTTTCAGACGGTGGCTTTTAGAGATTTTGTATTAACCCAGAGAAACTAAAGTTTAAATGATCTTTCCTTCACGCGCCCAATCGTTCAACCAGACTTCATCCCGCACCTGCTGTGGTCGATGCGGGTCTCTCAGGGCTGTCCGTGCAGGCATCTTTTTTTCCTTCTAGAATAGGCTCATGGAAAGTTAAACTCTTGAGGTTTTAACGTGGTGAGCTGTGTGTAGCCAGCATAATCTCTGAGTTTGCCTTTATTTTTTAAAAATTTTATTTTATTTTTTAGAGACAGGGTCTCGCTCTGTCACCCAGGCTGGAGGCAGTGGTGTCATCACAGGTCACTGCAGCCTCGGACTCCTGGGCTCATGACCCTCCCGCCTCAGTCTCCCAGAGCGCTGGGACCGCAGGTGCGAGCCACCTCACCTGGCCTGAATTTGCCTTTAAAGGGGCAAAGCAGTGGGAGGAATTTAGTGGTGAAAAGAAACTAGTTGTGGAAAGGCAGAAGCATTTTAACATGAGTCTCTTTGTAACATTTACGGCGCATTTATTGAGTTAAATTCCTACACGTGAAACATTGCTTTTTTGGCTTAAGTCCTTAAAAAGAAGTAAAATATCCAAGGGGAAAAATAGGCTTAATGAACAATTTTTACTTAGAGCCAGCTTGGCTCGGATGATCCGAAATGGCTGTGTGTTCAGGTCAGTGTATTTCAGACATTGTTTCTTTTAGGTTTTTGGCTTTGATATTGAAGATTTTAGGAATATCGGTAACTTTTATGCTACGCAGAAGTGTTAGCTGCGAAAGGTCAGATGAAACCCCTCTTGTGTTGTATAAATTATGGGGACATTTCGGAGTCTGTCCTAATTTGGAACGAGATTAAATAAGCCTGTGGACCAGTAACAAGTAAACCTCTGTCTTGTCTTTCTCCGAACACAAACCCCTCCCAGCCTCATTAGGTAATTTCCTCGGAATGTGGACGGCGGTTTTGCTCCTGGGACCTGGGTCTCCGCGGGCGTGGCGCTGGGCAGGGGGTCGATGAAGGTTTAGGCTCTCGTGGCCCCCAGGCCGTGGGGTGAGGGGCTTCTCCAGGCTCTGGTGACCGAGCCAGACCGTCCGGACCTTTGAGTCTTAGGGAACAGCTTCCCTAGGCTCTGGTGGCCCTCGGGGACACCGGTGACGGCCGTGTGATTCCAAACCGCGAGCCCAGGGCCTGTGGCACAGCAGGACACGGAGAGCCGTGGCCGTGGGATCTCCCAGCGCACTCCCACCGCTGTGGCCTCCTGGGAGATGCTTAGCCTAGGAGTCGAGGACGTGGCATTGCCCCGCGGTGCGCAGAGAGAGCGCCGAGCGCCGGGCGTGGCCTGGGGGACAGACTGTCACACCCATCTGCAGTGAGCCCTGTTCTCTCCCGCGAGGGCGCCCGGCCCCAGAGACGGCGTTGTTCCGGCTCTGGCGTCTCCTCCTGCGGTTCGGGGCTCCACAGGCTTCCTCACTCGCCCCCCGGGCCCTGCGCGTCCAGGCAGGTCCTCGCGACCTCCCTTCGCTCTCGACCGGGAGCCGTGCGCAAAGTTAGCGCCTGGGAGAGGTTCTCAACCGGCTGCGAGCCCGGCAGGTCCGCGTGTCTGGAGCGAGCGCAGCCTGTCTCCAGGCGCATTAACGTTCGCGACTGTGGCGGCTTCGTCCGGCTGCGCCAGGAGCACCCGCAGGTAACCCCCGTGCGCTGGATGGTCCAGAAAGAGCTCTGAAGGGACGAGGGCACACGGGGCTCCTGTGACCGAGGACGGACGTTCCTCTTGGTCCACCGTGACCTGGCGCCACCTGCTCAGGACCCGCGTGCGGCGAGTGGGTGGTTAGAGTCTCGCGGCACCGGCGTCCTGCCGCCCTTCCCTGGCTCTGCAGAGTCGGGTGGTTACGGGCACCGTTGGGACAGGCAGGGCCTTTCTGTGCCGCCGGAGGAGTCCACCGGCCCCGTCCGTGTCCGGCGACGCTCT